ATTAACATTGCTTCTTTGATCTTTCCTTGCAATTTATAGAGTTTTAAAGGTTTAAAATATAAATAATCAATCAATTTATTTCATTTTTAATGAATTTCAGTCTTGTTCCCCATGTTGCAATCCTCTTCTTATAGAGAAATTATTACGTGCAGAGTTCTGATTATTTGGATTTGTGAGGGTGCATAGTGAATACACAGTTTTATTTACAAAATTATATATTTGCTGTGCACCCTCATAAAATCCGGACTCATCTCACGTCTGCATAGTAAATACACAGTTGTAGTGATAATTATTTTTGAAATCTTCATAATAATTTATAAATATTTGGGCCTTTTTAAACATAATTTTATTTACTTGTAAAAAAAATTATGTATAAAATATATCAAATAATGTATTTATAAAAAGTAAAAAAATGAAAAATAAAATAAATGTCGAACAAGCTCTAAGATTTTTCATAGCAGTTAATGTTAATGGTATCTATTAAGGGCCAACTTAATTACTAATACATAAATCATTAAACTCTACATTACGGCCATAAGAGCAGCTGTCAATTTCTTAGTCGAATGAGTAGAAACGCTACTTCAATGAACAGTACAGTGATTTTTATCAAGATAAAGGCCAAGAGTAGGCCACCATCAAAGTATTAAGGGCATTAAAATAAATTAACTTGCTAGGTGTTTGATTAGAGGCTATGTAGCCCGGACTTGACGTACGACCATGACCTGGCTTCCATGTGGTTGAGCACAAGCACAAGTGGGGCATAGCGTAGGGTTAAATGTCATTTTGTAGGTCCTCTCCTCTCTCATTCCTAGAAGTGTGGAGTCTTCTTAAACAGAGAGATTTCACGTGTAGAGTTTGGATATAGAGATTAGTAAAAGCACAGTAGCGAACAATATCTATTCTTTTACTGACCTTTTGTTGTTCACAGTCATAAAACCGAACTGTTTTATGTGTCTGAATTCCGCAGATAATAATTTCCCCCTTAAACAACATATCTTTTCAATGTTTTCTAATAATGCAAATAAGATTTGTAAGATAATTATTATTTCTGTTTTATCAAATGAGTTATTTTATGTCCACTAAAAAATTGAGTATGCTTCTAAAATTTGGAAAATATTAGAGAAAAAATATGTGCTAGAAAATACAAGAATCTAGAAGCACACTGTAGGAAATTTTTTAGTCTTTCAGATGAATTATTCTAAGAAAATTTCTGCTTAGATGTATGATTTTTGTATTTTTATTAATGAGCTTTTAAATGAAGGAATTAACTTGTCAGAATCTTTTGTCATTGCATCATTGATTGAAAAACTGCCTAAATCTTGGAAGGAATATACAAATATGATGAAACATTCGAGTGAAAATAGAAGTTTAGAGCAAGTCATTATTGGCAATTGAATTGAAGAGACTAACAAAAAAAAGACTGATTTATAAAGCGTCAGAGATTTTACTAAAGCAAATTTGATACAAAAGGGGAATAAGATGAGAAAACATTTTAAAAAATTTCTCTTCAAAAAAAAAAGGAAATAAAAATTTCAAAGTTAAAGGAAATGAACAAAAGAAGAAAAGTGCTTGTTTTGTTTGTGAAAATCTAGATTATTTTGCTAGAAAATGCTGGCGCACAAAATTAAATGATAAGCCAAATGTTAACATTGCAGAGACCAATGATGTTATTATTGTTGTAATCTTAGTAGTTAATCTTGTTGAAGGAAACTCGTGGGTGATGGATTCGAGAGCCACTCAAATAAAATTTTATTATTCTCCTATACTAGTCTTGGTGAAGAAGAAAAAGAACAAGTTTTTATGGGAGATTCTAATATTGTGAAGGTTGTTGGAGAAGGAAATATTAACATCACGCTTATATCACAAAAAGCTATTTCGTACACTCTATTATTTTACATGCATCACAAATTAGATATAATTTTGTTTCTATTTCTTTACTTGGAAAAGCTTATGTTAAATATATATTTTTAGAGTGATGAAATAGTATTAACAAAAAATGATAATTTTATGAGAAAAAGATTATGTGAGTAATGGTCTATTCATATTAAATGTTATCAATGCTATAATAAAACTTCTTTTTCTTCTTCATCTGCTAGCATGAGTGAATGGATTTATGGCATAGTAGATCTGAGCATATTAATTTTTCTAACATTAAGAATATGTATGAATGAGAAATATTAGAAAACATATCTATTTCTAATTTTGACAAGTGTCCCATTTGTGTGGAGGTTAAATCAACCAAGAAAGTATGCAAATCTATAATAAATAGAGAGTTTTAATTATTATTTTTGATTCATTCTTATTTAGGTGACATGAAAAAATATATTTGGAGGTGGCAAGAGGTAATATGTGACATTTATTTATGATATTTTTAGAAGCCCCTATGTATATTTGCTTAGCAATAAATGTGAGATTGAATCAAAATTCATGAAATATGAGGCTGTATTAGAAAATAAATTAGAAAGAAAAATCAAGAGATTTGAAACTGATAGAGGAGAAGAATATGACTCATAACTTCATAGTTTTTATGTGAAACTAATGTTATTATTCATGAGATACTCATCCTTATTCACATAAATCTAATGGTATAGTTGAAAGTAAAAAATAAACCTTAAAAGAAATAATGAATGTTATGCTCATTAATTTAAGTGCTCATGATTATTTATGGGGTAAAGTTATTTTATCTGTATGTCATTTACAAAATAGAATTATTTTAAAAAAATATGAATACTCACCTGTAGAATTTAGGGTGAATAGAATATCTAATCTAAAATATTTAAAAGTATGGGGGTACCATGATAAGATTTTTCTATTAGATCCTAAGAATAGGAAACTGAGTTTAAGAACATATGATTGTCTTTCATAGGATATAAAGAAAATAGAGCATCCTATAAATTTATGGTTCTTAAGAGTGGTGTTGTAGAATCTAATTCTGTCATAGAATCTAAAAATGTTGAATTTTTTTAGGATATCTTTCCTTTAAAATTAATTATGGATAAACCTATTTTAATTGATCTTAATAATCATGATACACATGTTTAAGAATCTAGAAGTAAGGAATGAGAAACGAGAAAAACTTTAGAGATGATTTTTACACATTCTTACTAGATAATGACCTCTAAACTTGTTATAAAGCTGTCTTCATATTAGATGCTAATTTTTGGAAGAAAATCAGTCATGTAGAAATTGATTCTATTATGTCAAATCATATTAGGCAAATAGTAGATTTACCTCCAAGAACTAAAACCATTGGATGTAAATGAATCTTTAGGAAAAAGCTCCAGCCCGATGGATCAATTGAAAAATATAAAGCTATGTTTGTAGCTAAAGGAAATACTACCAAGAAACATTTGATTATTTTGATACTTAATCTCCTATTGTTAAAATTTCTTCTATTTGAGCTCTTATTGCTTTAGTATCAATATTTAAATTATAAATTCATTAGATGGATATGAAGGCTATTTTCTTAAATAAAAATTTAGAGGAATAAATATATATGGATCAACCCCATAATTTTTAGTGTCTAAAAATGAAATGAGGGATCCATTTATAGATTTATGGAGTGGCATGATCCGTAAATAGATGAGAGATCAGGGGCAAAAAGGGGACTGGTTGGATGGACGTTCGATATTGAATCCCTTGATTGTGGACCATTCGTCAGATATTTGAAGGTCTTAGTGATTTCGGAATTCTGCGATCTTGAGCTCGTTGGATTCGTCTTGTCGAGCTGCTTGATTTGATTATAAGCACGTAATGTTTGGAAACCGTTTGGTAATCCAAATTGTGGTTCGAACTTTCCAACATCGCTTCCGAGTCCTTGATTTGGACTCATTTGGGCTCGGATTGAGTTGAATTTGGTGTCGTTAACTTCGTATTTCCGAGATGCTCAATTTGACTATAAGTTTGCTGAAATCGGAGTTCGGATTATCCCAATTTTAATTTCGGAAGTTTCCAACTTGATTTTACATTGAGATTCGTGCCCGATCAAAATATTTTTTTTTATGACGTATCACACGTAAATTACTAAATTATCTTTTTATATCAGCATTGTTTCCAGCGTGGTCTCCTTGATCCCTTGAATGCTGGAAATAGCATTTTGTAAATTTTTTTACTCTACAGTTTGACCTTACATGATGACGTGGAGCCGCAAAGGTCAAATTTCTATTGATAAAATTTTAAAAATTTATTACATAATTCTCTCTCTCTCTCTGTGTTTTCTATAGATTTCGCTGATTGACATAAATCTCAACATATATATTTTATTTTAAAAAATTTTATAGCTAAAGTCAGATCCATTTAAATTTGAATTCAACAAATTTATAGCTAAATTAAATGTGTCTTTATAAGACAAATCTAATGATATTAATGATGGTTAGATCTAAGTCTAAATGAATGAAAATCAAGCATATTAAGTAAATTTTAAAACTTTTGGACATTAATTAAAAGGCCAAATAGTCTCAAAATCTCAAAAGTTTGTGATCAAATTGAGGGGCTCGACGAGATAAATCAAACATGCTCAAGATCATTTGGATTTGAGGTCTATAAGATACTTAAAAGATTCCATAAATTATTTATGATTAAAAAATTCAATATGAACCGATTGATGAAGTAAACTATTATCAAAATACTATAAATGGGTTTATTGTTTCCACACAAAGGAGAATTAGACTTTGAGATTTAAGAAAACTTTAAAATCTAAAAATATTAGAGCTCTCCAGCATTTGTTGCTGATGACCACCGTGAGCCATTGTTGTTATTTGACTGTCATCATCGAATCATCGTCGCTCAACTATTATTGTCCGACTGCCATTACCCAACTGTATTGTTCGTCTATTAGAATTTGACCGTTGTTCGCTGATTACTCATAATCTGAATATCATTATCCAATCAATATTGCTCAACTGTTATCATCATCCCTAAAATATTTCTCAATAGATCTCTATTATAGTCTATGGGTGACTAATAAAGTGCCCTTTCAATTGGTCTAAATGTTCCAAACAAAAAGCAAAAAAACAAAATAAGAGGATAAAATTAGATAAATCAAGATGTTGACAATGAGAGCTTAGTACGATTACATTGCTCATCCACTCAAAAACTCCTACACGTGAATCCGACGCTGTGGCCAAACCCTGAATCCCATTCTTCCACCTGCATTCCACTTTAAGTCTCTAAACCGCTAACAAAAAGTGTTAAATTTATCAAAATCCTACCATAAGCTCTCATTAAACTTGAAAGCGAGCTGCAAATCAACGACTGATCCGAAAAAGAACAATCTTGGAGCCTAAATCCTTTATTACCCTCTGCTTCTTTATTCTCCTATGTACAGCCATCATAAATCGCCGGAAAACATAACTTTTTCAGTTCTTCTCCAGCCGTGCAAGAAGAGCACACCGGAGATTGTCTTCTCCCTGCAGAGCATCGGGAACCTGAACAACCACATCCTGTATCACCATCTCCTTGAGGCCGGAAACCGTGGCGTGATGAACTAAAAGATCAAGATCGCGCAGAGCCGCCATTAGCCTAGCCGGGGGGTGGCTTAAGTTCTCAGATTGAACCCTGATCATGGCGTCAGAGCAGAGAAGTTTGACCTCGACCTCTACGGTCGCCGGCCCGCCGCTGATGGTGCTCGTGGGGGAGCCACCTTTTTCGACTGCGACCTCTTTCCTCCCTCGCTTGGCCTCGGCTTCCAGCTCCTCCACCTTGGCTCGAAGGTCCTTGATGTACGAAACTGCGTCTGCGAGCAGCGACGCCTTGTCCATTCTCGACACGTTGGGGACCACCGATCTGAGTGCGTAGAAGCGGTGATTCAGCTTCTCCCTTCGCTGCCGCTCCGCCTCCACGTGGTTCACCGGACTCTCCCTCACGCTCCCAGGCTTCCTTCCTCTTTTCTTCGGCCGCCGACGCTCCACCATAAGCCCCGGCCCCTCCGAATCCGAATGCTCGGAGTCCACCGACGACGATCCCCCAGCCAAGTTCCCGACTTGAGCTCTGTTTACAACAGAGTAGACGGGATCAGCGTCGTCAGGGGCGAAAAGGAGGGATTTCGCTTGCTGGACAAGAGCCCAGTTCTCGCCGACGAGATCGCCGGAACCGAGCTCAAGAACGCCTCCTGCGGCGGGGATGAAAACGAGAGTCTCGATGCCGTGGAGCTGCGCCTCGCTAGAACGTTCGCAGCCGCAGGTTTGCAGCGCGTGGGCGCCGGCGAGCCATATTGGGGCAAGCGACGCGTAAGCTCGAGCCGGCGCAGTTGCCGCGCCGACTGAGAACCAGCGGGTTAGGGACACCACGTAAAACCACTCCGCGTCGTCACTGTCGTTGGCAACGTCGCCGACGGCAGTTACAGCAGCGGCGGCGCGCTTCCTGTCGTCATCCCGCGTACCGCGGAAATGGCCGTCGCCGAAGCAAAGAACAGTAAGATCGGAGGAGGTGCGCCAGAATATGGCGTAGGTCCACCACTCGGGGCGGGAGTGGAGAAGGCACTGAATCCGGTACTGAAGCGCCGATGGCGGCGGCGGCGGCTGGGCTTCTGGCGAATTGACTGGAATAGGGTGGGCGGAGAAGAAGGGAGGCGGTGGCGGGTGCTGTGGAGGGGAGCACGATGAGGAAGGAGAGATGAGCTCATCCATTGCTGACCAAAGAGTGGTCTGTGACTGAACTTAAGAAGTAAAAACAGGGGAGACAGAAAGAAAAAAGCAGTTTGTTTGTTCTTTAGGTGGGGAACTGCAGGATCGCTGAATCGTGGGGAAGCTATCAACGAGAAATTTGATGGGGCTAGCTAAAGGGCGGGGGAATATCTGGGCCGCTTGGTTCGGTTCGAGAGGAGAGTGTGTTCGGCAAAATATAACATGATGAGCAGTCCGGCACGTGTCCGCGAAGTTGCCGAGGAAAATGAGTCTAATGCAAATATGCTTTATTATTGTTATGTTTTTAATTGTAAATCTTTTATAATATAATAATTTAATTCCCGAAAAAAAATATATATATCTTATAACTTTAACGACTATGAAAATTTTTAAAATTTTATATCTTTCGAATGATGTCTATTATATGTAGAAGCATTAGAAATGAGCAGAAAAAATATTATTTATTAATATTATAGGCAGAAATATTTGTAATAATGACGATATAGTTTATGAGATCAGGTTGCATGCCGGTTGTCCACAGAAAAAAAAATTCCTCCTAATTTCGTTTGTGCCCAAAAAAAAGATATAGTTTATAGTACTAATTAGATGTATATGATTGACCGATTTTTTGGGTAACTTATCAATTTATAAAATGTTAGAAAAAGTGTGTTGGAATAATTAGTATTGATATGTTATAAAAAATTATCTTGATCAGGCACAAATCTTGATCCAAATATGAATAAAAAAGATTCAAAATTAAATTTGAGATCATATGAACTACGATTTTAGCATATTTATAGTCAAATTGAACGTCTCGAAGAGATGAATCCAACGAAACCAAAATCGATCAAATTTGAATCCAAATGGGTCATAATAGAGGACCCAAAGCCTATTTGAATAACCCGGTATTCCGTGCTCGTACAAAACACATCGAAATTGATCAACAAATTGTTCGAGACCACATCCAACACAAGAACATTCGTATCTTACCTATTAGCACGCTAGATCAAGTTGCTAATATTTTCACAAAATCTTTATCTACTCCAAGGTTTTAGACATTACGACTCAAATTGATCGTTCATCCAAAGCCATCAGTTTGCGGGGGACTATTAGTAGATAAATATAATGTAATAAATAAAAAGAAACAATGAAGTGTCTTATTCTCATTGGCTAGCTTCCTTGTCTTATAACCTGTATGTCTATATATAGCTTGTGTTGTCTTCTCTGAAACACAGAAAATAAGATTAATTTTTCTCTCTATCTCTCGTCTTCACTCTGTTCTTGTTTATGGTTCGTCTCGATCTTGCAAAGCAAGATCTTGTGCCGCTCTTCAGATAGGAGTCACCATTTAAACTTGTAGGGGTTACCTAGAATCTTATCTGCTTTGTGGATAATTATGGGATAAATATACTAATAGGAATGCCATTTACTTAAGTGGAAAGATTATGCAATTTCTCAAGTAAAAGAAGCAAAATTCTTAAAAATCGAGGCAACTTTTGGTGTTGTGGTTGCAATTTCATTAAGAAACTCCGTAGTTAATGGTACTCATCACAGAGAAATCTTGGAAATGGTGACCTCCTTATAAGTTATACTAATAGAATAAAATCATGAGGCCCTTAGGTCAAAACGGACAATATCTCGATAGTCAAGAATTTGAGCAGTTACACTATAGTTGGCAAAGGTGGATGCAAATCTACTATGGTGTTCCAACCACTAACACTCAATTATGGCTCTCCAATAACTCTTATACATTTATGATCCTTCGACCACCGCCTTCTGACTATGATCCTTCAAACACCTTCATTTTATTATGGTTCTTCGACTCATATTAGTTAATTATGGTTATCTAATATTTGTCTCTTAATCACAATCTTCTCACCATCATCCCTTGACTAATATTATCTAATCACATTCGCCCGACTACAATCCTCCGACCACCAACAACATACTATGACCCTGTAACAGTCCTATTTTGGATAATATGATTTTTCAAAATTTTACCTACAACAACATTACGGTGTTGGGCTTTCGAGTGCAACGGTGCTAGGAAGCGCTAGAGAGTGGCACCTCAGTGAACCACTTTTTCTTGTTTTATAGTAACTCTAGAATCGCATGAGGGGCACATCAACGTTGTGTTACTTGGGCGCTGCGGCACTATACGCCGAAACAAGTTTTTATATAAATTTTCAGTTGTGGCTTGTCATGGAAGGAAGAAGAGGGGGAAAGGGGGACGACATGGATATAGGAAGAGAGATAAAGCTGCTTTGATATTTTTCTTTCATTACTCCAGTTAGGAAAAGTCTTCTGGTCTTTATAAGTAACTAAATTCCTATTTTAATTTTCAATGATTTTTGTTTGATGTTTTAAATCCTCCTAAAAATGATAAAAATATATTTTCTCTTGATTTATCAAGCTTTTATTGTGTAACTTTTCGTATATGATGGATATGTTTTTTATAGATATTTTTACAATAATTTTATGAAATTTTATCTAGAAAATTGAAAGTTATAATTTTCTGAAGATTGATGAATTGTATGATTTCATAGAATTTTTTGTTTTGCATAGTATTGTACACATGTGACAATATTATATAGGAAAATGATATCATCTATATAAAATGAATGTGACATTTGCATGTAAGGCAAAAAAAAGACTGTTAATACTATAATTAATATGGGTTGCCTAATAAAAAATATTACCCTGTACAATAGGGTAGGGCAGATAATTTTTTCCTTAAAGATGGTTTTTTATGTTATCCTGGTTGTAGCATGTAATTGATGATTGATTACGCTGACGAGTAGAGAGCGACAGGTCTTTATTGATCATTTAAAGCCACCCTAATGATAATTGACTAAATGAATAAATGTTAAGATTGATGGATGATAGATGAAAAGATAAAAATATTATATTATAGTTGAAAATCCTGCCTTGTTGAATTACATGATATTGATGCAAACATTAATAGCATACAAAATAATCAATTGTTGATTCATGCATTTTTCAATCATGCCTATGCATATACAATGTAATTGATAAAATATAATAATGTGACAATTATACGTTCATGATTCATCTAACTAAGAGAAGGATAATGTTGCATGATTGCATTACTAATTTAATATTGTATGGATTAATTGATTATTATTGTAATTAATTTCTTGCACATATTATTAATTTATTGATTTAAGCATATTGATTCATGCTTTTCATTATCGATCATATTGATTCTTAGTATTGATAAATGATCATTGATAGATTATTGAAAGCTATTGTTTGAATTGATTGAGATAAGCATGTATATTGATTTCTAAAATATTATATTGGAAGCTTTAGCGGGTTTTAGATTTCTGCTGGCTTTGTAAGCTTATTATATGATTTCCTTTATTTCAGGTCAAGAAAGGGGTCCGCACTCTGTGGAGTAAGGTTGGTTGAAATTTCCATATTTTTCTTTTGATATTTTTTGTTATCTCGTTTATTCTTTTGTAGTTAGTAGCTTTTTATGAATTATTGATTGTAATGATTGCCTTACTATTGTAAATGAGTTTTGATGAAAGAATATAATGAAAGATTTTGACGTATATAATGTTTAGTAGCTTCCATTAGATGTATTGATTAATATTGATAATTTTATAGAAGCTCTAATAGATAATTAAAAGATAAAATAGATAATTTTTTTCAATTTAAAACTTGTGGCATTACAGACCCTTTGACCATCATTGCTTGAATATGATTCTCTAATCATCATTGCTTAATAATAGTTGATCAACCATTATCTTTCAACCTTTGCCACCTTACAACAATCCTTCGAACATCATCATATTACTACGCTCATTCAACCACCATTACTTGTCTAGGGTTCCTCGATCAACATCACTAGACTAAGATCTCCTGACCACCTTCAATCAATCATGGTCCTCTAACCACCATACCTCGAATACAATTCTTTGATCACCATTGACCAACTATGATCTTTTAACCACAAAAAATAAATGCAAATTTTACAAAATTTTAAATTATATATTACATAGAATTAGAGAAGATTTGTGGTGAAGGATATCCAAGGGCTAAGTGGAAGAAGTTAGAAAATTCTCCAAACTTCATTTAGATAGGTGACGATGGCTAATCGATAGATTAGCGATTAAATTGAATCTGATTGATTTTTTTCAAGTTATTTTGATGAGTAAAACTGAAGTTGAAGGCGATATTGTTGTATTTAATATTATGTTTTTTTCGTAATATTTGATATTTTATATCAAAAGAATAACATATATTTACATTTTAGATTAAATGTTGTAATATTTCTTTTTTACTAAGTTACTGTATGCATTATTAGCAAAAAAAAAAAAAAAAACAAAGACAGATAAATTGAAAATACAAAATAAAACATAACATGGTTAAGCCTTTTTTTTTATAATATGTTAGTTAAACATTAATTAATGAGATAGATCATAGATGTGATGATACATAATGAAATTATTTAAATGCTTGATTGCAATGTTACATCATAAGGTCATTTTGGAAAAATATCTTATTGCGCTCACCTAAAATAATTTCATGTTTTCTAATATATTTGATATATCATCAAAAAATTATCTTGATAAGACATAATTTCAATGCAAATATGAATTAGAAACTTTCAAAATTAAATACGGGACCATCCAATGTTTGATTTCAGCAAACTTAAAGATAAATTGAATGTCTCGAAGAGATGAACAAAAAAACACCAAAATCAATCTAATTTGAACCCAAATGGGTCCAAATCGAGGGCCCGAAGCCTATTTAGAAGCTTAAAAATGTTAATTGGATGATCAAATGATATTCAAATGTGACATGCTTATAGTCAAATATACCAGATCATCAAAACAAATCCAACATGCCCAAGATCATCAAATTCTGACATCTTTAGGACACTCAAATGCTCAATAAATAATCCATGACAAAGGGAGTTTATATCGATTGTCCATTGATATTCTACTTATTTACTAGTCATGCTACACCCAAAAACTTATAAATGGACCCCTCATTTTGCACAAAGGGGAAGAAGGAGAGAAGAAAAAAAGAAGGATCTCTCTTGCTTTCTCAAGCTTGCACCAAATTAAAGCTGGATCTCTCCATGACCTCCGACTGTCGCCAGCTTTCAACAACCGACCATCGTTGGACTTCCGGCTAACCCACTAATTACGATCCCTCAGACCACAATCACCCATTGACTACAGTCCCTCTAATCACCATCATCCGTCGATTATGGACCTTCCGACCATCGTCGCTTGTTGATTACGGTCCTTTTGACCATTGTTGCCAACCGACTACGATCTCTCCGACCACCATCATCCGTTGACTATAGCCCCTCAAACAACTG